GTGGGGGGGGGGGGGGGGCAAGGCCCAGGGTGGCTGAGAACTCCAACACAGAAGTACAATAGGTAGTCTCCCGCTTGTAAGAACATCTAAATAATATTTTACATCAAGACGTGGCAGACGAGTAACGGCAGGATACAAGACGAAAGATAGAAGTAAACCATTAAGGGACTTCAAGGGTGCCCCATAGGCCACTAAAATGCCACTGGGGAGGGCAACCTGTTACAGGGTCCAAGTGTTTCATGCACCCCTGAGCCTTGGGGGTCATGGTAGCTGTGGTCCCCAGGGCTCAGGGGTGCACATCTATGGCTAGGAGCCCTACCAGTCCTGCTCCATAGCAGCCAGCTATGGAATTAGAACATATTTTTGAGGTCTAACGTTGTGGCTGATTGGATGTTTTTATCGTGTGGTAGCTACTTGGTACATGTTGGTGGTTTTATAGTATTTGCACAATTAACCAGTTACTTGTACAATACCTGAAATGTGCAGAGAGGACTGAGATGCTGGAAGTCGACATCCTCTTCAGCACCCTAATGTTTTACTCTTGTGATGTATGCAATTCTTCAGTTGTCACTCTGTCTAAAACTTTTGCAGCTTCTAAAGCTATACCACGTGTCTTATAAAATAGGACAAAAGCTTTTCCTAGAAGCTTTTCTACCAAACTGGCCCAACCAGTGAGTGCTTTTCTGTAAGAGTTGGTCTCTTCATGGTGAAGGGCTTTACTATCACCTGATGTATTGTTTTACCACAAGCAGATTTTCTCTTCTGACTTTAAAGACCATCTTCATCAAATGAAACTTCCTTAATGCTTGTAAAACATTTGTAGGTGTTTTAGCTAATGTTGCAAAGCATCTCTGGTGACACTTGTCAGACTGATTTTTGAAGACCTTTGACCTTAATTGGTTGCTTGTTCCTGTTGAAACTTCTAAACTGGAACAAGAGGGAATGCTTTGCCCTTACACTGCTGTTGAGTCTCTTTACAGCTTAGTAATTCAAGATTTCCATTGTTATGGTAGGCCTGTGCAGAGAATTCAAGGAGGTTTAGAAATTCTGGTTTCCTTTCCAAAGAGGCAGGGGAAATTAGTAGAAGCTTATTTATCTCAAGGGATTTAACAGCACCTGAGGATCAAGTGCTAAATAAACAAAAGGAGTACTGTCACCTGTGGGACACTGGGGAGGTCATGGGTACCTTCACTCCTGCATTTTGGATGGTAAGATAAGTTCTATCCTGGAATATGTGGGGGGTGCAACACCATGGCAGTTGATTTGTAGAATACATGGAATTATTTGGGATGGGTTGCAAATGCCGGGCTGAAATTAGCTCTTTGCAGGTACCACCCATGCACACCACCCAAGTGCTTGAAATAGCCTGATGGCCTTTCTGTACCAAACTGTTACCAAGGTCAGGAAGACCCTTTTGCAGGGGGCTAAGTGATACAGTGATGGACCTTGGAAAATGTCATGCTTATCTAAGTCAAGAATGATAAAGACATTTCACAGACCTCATGGCTTCTAATCTGAAAGGAAGAGATATATTTACCAAGTGAGCTGCCATGTCTCTAGTTAGTCCAGGTGATGTCCCTGTAAAGTGTTCTGCTTGTCACCCAAAGCTTACTACTGTCATGAAGTGTGTAGCTACTGAAGGCATTTTTTTCCTGGTCAGTGGTGGCCATGGGGATCTGCCCTTAGTCATGTTAAGCATAAATATAAACTGGGCCTGCCCCACCTTTTCTAGCATTTTGTCAATGCTAGGCATCAGGAAAGAGTCAAACTTGGACATGGCATTCAACTTCTGGATGTACAAGCATGACCTCAAGTCTCCATCTTTCTTGGGCACTACAACTAGGGAGCTACGCCTATGCCTTTGTAGCATTTTTGTCAGCTTGGACTTGACTGCCTCATATAGTCACTGGGGAAGCTGCCTCCAGCTCTGGTGTATCATGCACCCCTCAGGTGTGCAGCATACTATTTCCATGGACTCTCGGGCTCAGTGTGAAATACATCCTTGTACTCCCTTACCAGCCCATGGAGTTGGTTCTCTTGATCTCGGGAAAATTGTTCCCCAAAGACTGGCCCTTCCTGAGGTGCCACCTCCCCTAGGGAGGGCCCTAGGTCTGCCTGGTCAAGGCATGGTGCGGTTTGTGGGCACACCACCTTTTGTGGGCATGCCACGGCTTGAGCAAGCTAACATGATAAACCTACTTCTCTAGTTGCCAGTCTGGCCATGTGACTTCATAATCAACTGGCTCCATGTGCCACATTACTTTAAATGTTCCTTGCCACTTGGCCAGTAAATGACTGTTATGGTCAGGTAAAAGGACCAGGATGTGGTCACCTGTATTAAAATACCGCTCTTGTGCCTTTTGATCGTATTGCGCTTTTTGCCAGGCTTGGGCATGCCCCAATTTTTCTTTGGCTATCTGATGTGCCTGAGTCAGGTGTTTCCTTAACTCGGTCAGGTGCCTCACTATATGTGTCCCCATTTGAACCTGCTGTTCCCAGCCCTCTCACACCACATCAAGAAGACCCCACGGCTGGTAGCCTTAAACTAGCTTGAACAGTGAGTACCCCATGGATGCCTGGGGCTCCTCCC